AAGGACTGAAGGAAGCCTTCCTGCACGAGATGGACATCCATACGAAGACGGCCATGGACGTGTTCGGTGTCAAAGCCGAGGACGTTGACGCCAATATGCGGCGGTCCGCCAAAGCGGTTAACTTTGGTATCGTGTACGGCATCAGCGACTATGGCCTGTCCCAGAACCTGAACCGTCGCGCTTGGCGTCTCTGACGATATCGTCAGAGACGCCAAGCGCGACGGTTATGTCACCACGCTGCTGGAGCGCAGACGGTATTTGCCGGAAATCAATGCAAGCAACTTCAATCTGCGTTCTTTCGCTGAGCGGACGGCGATGAACACACCGATCCAGGGCACCGCCGCCGATATCATCAAGCTGGCTATGGTTCAGATGGATGCGGCGCTGGCCCAAGAGAAGCTGAAGAGCCGCATGCTGCTTCAGGTGCATGACGAATTGGTATTCGAAGTCCCTGAGGACGAGCTGGAAATCATGAAGAAATTGGTGCCGGAGACGATGGAGCATGCGCTGGCCCTGTCCGTACCGCTCAAAGCTGAAGTGAGCTACGGAGTCAATTGGTACGAGGCGAAATAGAGGGCTGCGTAAGCGCCCGTATGTAAATCTTACGGGTTCCCCGCGAAGTACTTGAGCAGGCTTCGAAGAAAAAGCGCCGCTTTGTGGGGCTGTCTTACGCTATAATAGAGGTTGAGGTGAAGTCATCATGCCGGAATTGCCGGAAGTCGAAACAGTCAAAAGAACACTCAATCAGCTCGTGAAGGGCAAGATGATTGACCGCGTTAGTGTGAATTTGGCGCGGATCATTCAGCGCCCCGATGATATAGATCAGTTTGCGTGGATGCTGGCCGGACACACCATTGAAGGTGTGGAGCGGCGCGGCAAATTTTTGCGGATCCTGCTGGACGGGCTCGTGCTCGTCTCCCATTTGCGGATGGAGGGACGGTACGGGGTATACCAGAGCAGTGATCCGGTGGAAAAGCATACGCATGTCATTTTCCACTTTACCGACGGCACCGAGCTGCGGTACAAGGATGTGCGGCAGTTCGGAACGATGCATTTGTTCCAGCCCGGAGAGGAGTTACAGCTTCCCCCGCTCTCCAAGCTGGGATTGGAGCCGCTGGATCCGGCGTTTACGCTGGAGCGTTTCAAAGAAACGCTGAAGGGGAAGAAGACCAAAATCAAGGCTGTCCTGCTCAACCAGGCATATATCGTCGGCATCGGGAATATTTATGTGGATGAGTCGCTGTTTCGGGCGGGCATTCACCCCGAGCAGCCGGCCGATACGCTGACGGATGGGCAGCTCGAAGCGCTCCATCAGGCGATCGTGGCCACGCTCGCCGAGTCGGTTGAGGTGGGGGGATCGTCCATCAAGTCTTATGTCAATGGACAAGGTGAGATGGGCATGTTCCAGCACCAGCTGAAAATTTACGGCCGGCAGAACCAGCCGTGCGTAAATTGCGGTACCGCCGTGGAGAAAATGGTCGTTGGCGGGCGCGGAACCCATTTCTGCCCGTCCTGCCAAACCCTGAAATCGTAACAATTCGAACTGGGCGTGCACCCCTTTTTTGTACCCTCCATATACTGAGGTAGAGATATCTTATGAAGCGGGGCTTCCGAATGCCTGATCCATGCTGCAGGCTTTTTCGGGGCACCGCTTCTGTCACAGGGAGGGAACGGGGTGCTCAGTCATGTTCTTGCACTGCTGCTGCTTGCGTTAGCATTAAGTTTGGACAGTTTTGGTGTCGGCATTACATACGGCCTTCGTCAAATGAGGATTTCGCCGTTATCGATAGCGATTATTTCTTTATGCTCCGGGGTCATCATCTATGTGTCCATGCAGGTGGGCGTGCTGCTGGCCCAATTCGTATCCCCTTCGATCGCCTCCATCATTGGAGCGGTCATCCTGATCATTATGGGCTCATGGTCGCTGGTACAGATGTGGATCCAGAAGGAGAAAAGCGGGGAAGGCAAAGAAGTCCTGGAAGCTAAAGACACAGAGGTCGCCAAGCAGGCTAAAGACGCCCAAACCAGCGGGATAGGGGGGCATGGCTTGCAAAGCTCCGGCGGAGAAGGTACACTGGACCCTGCCCAGCATGAAGCACCTGAACAGACGGTGTTTTCACTGGAAATCCGGAAGCTGGGCGTCGTGATCCGCATTTTGCGGACGCCGTCTTCCGCGGATATGGATAAGTCGGGCAGCATCTCCGGATGGGAGGCCATGTGGCTTGGTATCGCCTTATCCCTGGATGCGTTCGGCGCGGGTCTAGGCGCGGCATTGCTCGGATTTTCGCCGCTGCTGACCGCCGTCGTGATCGCTCTCTTCAGCGGCACCTTTTTGGTCGTCGGAATGAAGACGGGACTGCGCTTTGCATCCCGAACGTGGATGCGCCGGTTTACGGTGCTGCCGGCAATATTATTAATTGTAATGGGAATAATGAAGCTGTTATGAGGTGAGTTAAGGATATGAACATCGGGTTAACCGGAGGAATAGCGACAGGAAAAAGTACCGTATCCGCCCTCTTAGTCAGCAAGGGGGCGCTGCTTGTTGACG